TGTGTCCAGATGCATGTGGGGGTTGAGGGGTGTGGATGTGTGTCTGTGATGCAAATTGTAGGGATATGTGCAAGCTCCCCAGAGTCAGAAGGGAAATGGATCTTATGTGCTGATCCAGGAGGAGGGACCAGACTGACCTGAGACAAAGACAAGCCCGCATCGGTGTGCTTAGATGACAGTGATACTTAAGAAGAAACTCGGCTTTCGCCTGTGGGAACACTGCTTTAAGGAGCTCTGTTTAGAAACAAACAAGTGAATCAAATATTCCCATCCCCCATACTCTCCCAAAATCCAGTAAAAATAAAATAAATATTTTCCTTTTCCATTGGAGGAAACTAACCACTCAGATCTAGATTTGGCTTAATAACAAGGTCTCTAAAACGCTGCTCTTTAAAATGGTTCCTGAAGAAATCCTTTCCTGACGATTATACTGAACTCAGGGATAACATCAGGAGATAATGACCTAGGCTCTCAGAAACTCAACTTCCTCTCTCTACCTTTCAAAGGGCCCACTCTTTTGTTTTCAGAGGCAAGAAGGAGACTGTCTTCTGTTCTACAGCATTTAAGAGAGCGAGGGTGGAACGGGGCAGAATGTCTTTCAAGAATATTGTGGACTTGAGGAAAACACAAAAATTCAACCAAGTTTGCCAGATGTGTTGGCAAATTTGTCATTGTCTATAGTGGTCTTGAGGGTGACCTCGCAAAGGAAGCCACCCTTTCTTGGGGTGATTCATTGCACTCGGGGATGGAGTCCTAGCAATAGACCACTGCTACGCCTGGTATCCCTCTCCTCACCATTGCTCTAAGCCAAGGACTGAGCAAAGACTCATGGTGGTTATTAGATGCCATTGTATGATTATGACTCACGAAAAACAGAACTTTGAGCCCTCCTGTGCCTTCCTTATCATCTCTGACACACTCAAGTCTATTGTTAACAAACCACTGTTAGTGCATTTTAATGAGTGCCTTCCTCTTCCTCTGTCCTTACATTTCCCAGCATGCTGTCTTTTTCCAAGGACTGGCCCCTTCTAACATTTTCAAAGTATATGAGATAATATCCTGCTTGCACTTACTCCAAGACAAAAGAGACTCATGAGTGCTTTGGGGAAAAAAAAATCACAACTCTATGGGCCATGTCCTAGAATATCCATAGGCCGTTAACCTCACAGTTTTGGAAATGGAGGACTTAGCACCCTGCCTCGTTGGGGCTGGGGATATCCTTGTCCAGTCAGCTCTGCCTCTGAGATCACTCACTCACTAATTGCTGTTAAGTCAATCCTGACTCATACTGACTCTCTGCCCAGTTTCCAAGACTTTAAATCCTAAAGGGAGGAGACTGCCTATCTTTCTCTTGTGGGTGGATTCTAACTGCTTTTGTATTAGCAGTACAACTCATTACAGGCCATAGAGTTTCCTGCTCCTGAAATAATTCCCCAAATTATGTATCTCTCACCTCCCCATTCTACTACTCTTCTTGGATGGGTGGGTCATTTCACATCTACTCTTTATTTTCATACAATTTCCAAGGATATCCTCTTAGAAATGGAAATCCAAGTAAGCCACTGCCCAGCAAAGACTGAGTTTAAAGCTGATCTGCTTGAAGGCTAAGCCCTTTAACTGCTCTCAGCCTCTGCATATCACCATAGAGCATAGTAATTAATTATAGAAAGGATAATGTACAAGCATGTGTATAAAACACAAGGTATGTGAATGAAACACAACATATACGGATGATTGTATAAAACATAAAATACATGTACAAAACACAATGCACATGAATGATTATATGCCAACCAGTAAAAACTTTAAAAATATAGTTATTGTTAAGTATCATAGGGTTAGAACTGACCCATAGCTTACCCTCCAGGAGGTTTTCAGAGGCAGTTAATTGCACAGGAGGAGATTGTCCTGCCTTCTGCTGAGCAGCTGGTAAATTCAAACCATGTGCCTTTAGGATTGTAGCGCAGCTGCGTACCACCAGCGTTCCTTATATCACAATATATAATTGAACACAGACTAATATATATTATATATATTGTTAGAGGCCTTTGAGTCAATGTCAATGCACAGTGACCTCATTTATATCAGAATGAAGCTCTGCTAACCTTGAGGCTATCATTGGAGTCACTGTGTAGTGTATTTTCATATAAAAAATATATAAAATATATAACTATACATTCAAAATATGGCGTTTGACTGTGTGGATCATAACAAACTGTGGCTGACTCTGAGAAGAATGGGAATCTCAGAACATTCAATTGTGCTAATGCGAAACCTATGCTTGGACCAAGAGGCAGTTGTCAGAACAGAGCAGGGTAACACTACATGGTTCAAAATTGGGAAGGGTGTACTCCAGGGATGCATCCAGTCTCCATACCTTTTCAACCTGTATGCAGAGCAGATTATCCGGGAGGCTGGGCTCTATGAGGTGAATTGTGGCATCAAGATTGGTGGAAGATCTATTAACAATCTGCGTTATGCGGATGACACAAGCCTGCTTGCTGAAACTGAGGAGGACCTCATGCACTTGTTGCAGAGGGTCAAGGACTGCAGCCTTCAGTATGGACTGAGGCTCAATGTCAAGAAGACAACAATTCTCACCACTGGACCAGTTGGTAGCATCAGGATGGATGGCGAAGAGATTGAGATTGTTCACAGCTTCAGTTTGCTCTGCTCCACGGTCAACAGTCTTGGCACCAGCAGTCAGGAAATCAAAAAACATATTGCGATGGGAAAATCTGCTGTTAGGGACCTCTCTAAAGTACTCAAGAGCAACAGTGTCTCTCTGGAGACTAAGGTCCGCCTGATACAGGCCATGGTCTTTGCAATCACTTGTTATGCATCAGAGAGTTGGACAATGACTAGGGAGGACAGAAGGAGAATTGATGCCTTTGAGCTGTGGTGCTGCAGAAGAGTATTGAATGTACCATGGACTGCCAAGAAAACAAACAGATTCACCCTGGAGAGGATTAAACCAAGCAACCCCTTGGTGGCAAGGATTCTGGGGCTTCGTCTGACATACTTTGGGCATGTTGCAAGGAGGGACAGGTCCTTGGAGAGGGACATCATGCTTGGGAGGGTGGAGGGACGGTGCAAGAGGGGAAGACCCTCTATGAGATGGATTGATTCAGTGACTGGGGTAATCGGGATGGATTTGTCAGAGGCAGTGCGATTGGCACAGGATAGAGCAGGGTTTAGGGCTGTTGTACATAGGGTCACTATGAGTCACAAACGACTTGACGGCACGTAACAACGTATATATATTGCTATTGTTATCTGTATTTCTTAGAAGAAATACAATCAGTATACTTTTTAAGAGTGATGATGTTGAGACTTCAGCTTGCTGGATCAGAATGTAGGAGCTGGTGAGATGGAAGGTGAAGGAGGGCCCTCTGTAAGGCAGATTGACGTAGTGATTGTGACAGTGGACTTAAACCTCAGGAGGATTTTGGAGTGGCCCAAGACTGGGCAGTGTTTTGTTCTGTTCTATACAACATCACCATGAGCCAAGGTTAACTCATTGGCAATCAACGTTATATGTGATGCACCCATTTTTAACACAACTTCCAATTATCAAATTCAGAACTAAAGCCAGTTACATGCTACCAATTCTTGAAGAAGAGGTGACCCTTAGGGTCTGCGAGCCTGATAAACAGACACTGAAACTTTAAGGAATCTTGCCTCGAATGCTTTCTATTGCAATATATTTTGAATTCATTAAGCAGATACCACATACACCCAGGATTGTTGAGCTGCAGAGCTTATTCTAGCTTCAGATGAAGAGAATATTTTGATGATATGCAGGCCCATGGACGTAGAAAAACTAAAACAAAAATAAAAACAGACAAGAGTTTACAGAGAGGCACTGAATGATTAAATGTGAAAGGGATTCCTGCCAGTCAGTTTTCCAAAAATCCTGAGGCAAACAGAGTGAGCCCATGGACAAGAATCAAAGATCCGTGCAGACTGTGGTCCTAAGGATTCTGGGTAATCTGGGGTGTGACTAGACAGCCAGTGGGCCAAATACTGCTTCCGGGGATGGTTTTAGAGTCTAGGCCTGCAGAGACAACGAGTCTTCTTTCACCAGATTTCTGACAACTTCAGTTCTTTTCCTGCCAACTCCAGCAACTTTGATAGCCTTTATTCCTTCCTAATGCTTATTATTTTCTTAGAAACACTTTTGGTATGTTGTTATGTACCATCAAGTCAGAACCAACCAATCGATGACCCTCCTGTGGGTCTTCAGAAAAGGCTGTAACTCACACAGGAGGAGACTGCCCATCATTCTTCTTCAAAGTTGCTGGTGGATTTGATCTGCCTTCTTTTGGGTTGGCAGTGCGATTCCCTGATCACTAGGCCACTAGAGCTCCCTAGGTAGAAAAAATCCTCATAAATTATCTGTCTGTCAATCTGTCTATCTAAAGGACACTCATATTGTGGTATTCTGGAAGTATAGTGATGTAAATGAACTCCATTGTTGAAAAATGCATTGGGGAAAATATCTCTGTCTAATCAGCTAGGATAGAGTACAGATGCAAAGAGAATCAATGATTAGTCTTACTTTCAACTTTCAAATCATGAAAATATTATTAGCTAAAATGAATTTAAAATGGAAAGTATCTATCTATCTATCTATCTATCATCTATCTATTCTGAATATAAAGATATGTATATATCTGAATGTATAGATATATTAAACAAGAGTTTTCAATAAAATCTAATAATTAACGTGGGAATATATTTGCAATGTTGTATATACAACATATATAGCAAACCAAATTATAAAAATTATAGCATTAAAAAAGCATTTACTTTGAAAGTTCCCAAAGAGACAGGAAGGGTATTTGATCTTGTCTTTCTTTTCTTTTTAAGTTAAAATAGACTGATTTGGAGGATTTCCTTGGGAAGGTGGTTGTCAACCAGTTGGTGAGATCTTAAGAACTGCAGTTACCTGAGGGATAGTTTCTCATATTTACTGTCATTTCATTTCTGAGTTGCAGATGAGTAGAGTCTGCATAAACCCAGGCTGCGTCAGGTGGACAGAAGGAGCTCTGCTAGGCTAGTCTGTAAGGAGGCAGGCTGCTTACCCAAAGGTCATGCTCTCTGCTGGTTTGCACCCACTAGTCCTTCTGAAGACAAAAAGATGCAAAAATGAGTGAATGGAAATCCAAAGTTTCAGTAAAATTAGTAACCCCCCCCAAACCAAAACAAAAAAAGATGGATAATCTCTCCCTGTGCAATTTACAGCCTCAGAAACCCCCTTAGAGGAGCAACTGAGAGCTGTGCCTGACTTTCCAGCAGTGAGACAAGATGAGCAGTCTCCTCTTGAATGACTCACAGCATTTGAAACCTCACTGGAGGGCCAGCTATAAGTCAGTTCTGACTCTATGGCAAATGATAACATGTTTCCTTTTTTAAGAGATTTACCTATGAATGGTAAAATAAAGTATTCATTTTCTTTTAAGGCGTCTTCTTTTTCTCCTCTGTCCACTGTCTCTCTCCTTCTGCCTCACCCCACCCCTACCCTACCACCAACCCAACACAAACCCCATTTTCACTGAATCTTTCCACATTAGACATTTATTCTGTCTGTGTTCCTGTTGAACAGACGGTTCGTCATGCTGGGTGATGGCAGTGGAGAGGACACTCCATCCTGTAAAAGCACTGTCACTGGGAAGCACCCTGGGTTTATTGAACAGTTGCATTAATATCAGCATGGCACTTAGACAGACGGGGTGGTGTGGAGAGCCCACACAGAGGGAAAAGGCGCCGAAGGTTTGTCTTCTCGATGCCTATTGTCTGCCTGCTCGGAGCAGCTGGCCAAGTTGTCTTCCTATATTCTTTGGGCTTTGCAAAGCCCCATAGAAATCCACGAGATGCTCGCAATGCCTAAGATTGCTCTCTGCTAATCAGATGGTGCCCTCCGCCTTCAGCATATATGTAATATCAGACCCGCAATTACCGAGTCAGCCGGGCTCTAGGCAAAATGTGTTTCTGCTAATTAAACTTGTTGCATTTGAATGGCTTTCTTTGGCGATACTGTATGCACTGAAACTGTTATGAACAATAAAAGAAACCATTTTCTAGCCTTCCACCAAAGGCCTCAAACTGCAGATGGCCGCCCTGTGTGCAAAGCGCTGGCCACTGAATTAATCTTTTGTGTGAGCAAAAGAAGGTAATTTGAATGTTTGAACCCCCTACAGGAAGCTTGTCTCAAAATGAACAATTCGCCAAATAAAGACTAATTAGAGCCTAAATTAATTAGAAGGTGTGGTTTGAAAGGATGTTGATGAGAAGAGTCTGTCATTTTAGACAAATGGAATCGAGCTAAATAAATTAGCCCCCATTAATATCTCATTGTTCTGTGAGCAGCTCTCTTTTAGTGCATTCATTAGAAAGCACCCCTTGAAACAAGCCTTCGCTGGCCATTACGGATTCAGCCCTCATTTCCTGACGCCTAGCACACAGTGCCTGCATTAAAGATATTTCAACAAATCCTCGTGGCTTTGGCAAATTCATATTTATATTTTCTGGGAGTTCTGTTTTTCATCTGGAAAACAGGCCCTGAGTGTTACTGACTTTTTTTTTTTGGTCACCAAATTGTCAGAAGCGAGGAGCTTCACATCAGAAAATGTGGCCAAGGGAAGGGAATAGCACACAGCTGAGCAGGGGCTGCATAGAGCAGGGATGGAAATATAGCACCCAGACCCTCAGACACCCCTGGGTTGAGAAACCCTTTACATCTCCAAATTTGTGTTTTCCTTGATACACTGTTTTGTATTTAAATAAACCATTACTTTCTGATGCTGCCAAATCCTAACAGCTGTCAGGACTTTTAAAAGCTCTCTTCTAAAGCCTCATTGTGAGAATGGGTCTCTCTGTCTGCCTGTCTGTCCGTCTCTCTCTCTCTCTCTCTCTCTGTCCCTATCCCTATCCCTATCCCTACCCCTACCCCTACCCCTACCCCTACCCCTAACCCTACCCCTACCCCTACCCCTACCCCTATCCCTATCCCTATCCCTATCCCTATCCCTATCCCTATCCCTATCCCTATCCCTATCCCTATCCCTATCCCTATCTCTATCCCTATCTATCTCTATCTCTATCTCTATCTCTATCTCTATCTCTATCTCTATCTCTATCTCTATCTCTTGTGTGTTTCTTTTCTGTAAAATGGAATGTGACTCTCTCTTCTCTCCTTCTCTTCTAACAGATGGAGTATTTGGAAGATGCCAGCAAGTCCCGGTGATAGACATATACCAGTATGAAGTGTCACCGGCCGCTCTGCAGCATCTGAGGGCCACCCTGCGGAAGCTCTCCCGAACAGGTACCCTGCAAGTTAGGCAGGATAACTCACTGGGCTGGAAACATTTAGAGGTTGGCCCTGCTAAATAAGTGCTCAGAAAATGACTTTGTTTCTTCTTAAAAATACACAGAGCCTCCAAGGGAGTGAAGCTTTAGAATGGCCTTGAATCGTCCAGTCTAGATAAGATAGCATCTTGGCGCCAAGAAGCGGCCTGGGAGCAGGGATTTTTGCTTGTGAAAGGTTGTCACTCCAGGGCTTATTTTCAAGGGGTAGGACTTTTAGTTGGCTAGTATATGCTCAGCAATTATTTTAGTAATGTCTAGTGTGAGACTTTCAGACAGTAGTATCACCAATATCACATGCAAGCAAAATACTGCTGAAGTCATAACAGTACATTGACAGAGAACTGCCAGAAGTTAAAGCAGGATTTAGAAGAGGCTATATGGTACAGGAATCTCATTGCTGATGCCAGATGAACCTTGTAGAAAGCAGAGAACACCAAAAGAATGTCTATTTGTGTTTTATAGACTATGCAAAGACATTTGACTATGTGGATCATAATGAAATATCATTAGCATTGTGAAAAACAGGAATCCCAGAACATCTAATCATCCTCACATAAAACTTAAACCCTAGACCAAGAAGTGACTCAATGGCACATAACAACAACGGTGAGAAAAGAGAGGTCTTGTGATGTAGTCTCTAGGAGTTTCACTGGTAACCAAAAGGTGGTAACTATCTCTAGATTTGAACCCACTCTGACAGAGAGAAAAAAAAAGTACAGTCCCTTCCCCAGTGATTTATAGTCTCAGAAATCCAGTGGAAGGTCAACTGTGAGCTGACTCCCACTGGCTGGCAATGAAAAGAAGGAGGAATAAGTTTGTGAAGAAGAATCAATGCCATTTGAATTGTGATGTTACCAAAGAATATCAAATATGCCCTGGGCTGTCCAAAGATCAAACAAATCTATGTTCAAAGAAATGCAGCCAAGGTATTCCTTAGAGGTAAGGTTGGTGAGACTTTGTCTCACATACTTTGAGCATATTGTCAAGAGGGACCAGTTCCTGGTAAAAGAGACCCTTTAAAGGTGGAGAATTAACTAAGGAAAGGAAGACTCTCACTGAGATGGCTTGACACAGTGTCAGCAGTGATGGGCTTGAGCATGAGAGAGATTGTGAGAAAGTACATCATAGGGCAAGATTACAATCTGTTGTTCATAGTGTTGCTGTGAGTTGTGTGCGACTGGATGACACCTAACCACTATGACAGCAGCAGTATGAGAAAAAAATGCTACTGGTTGTGATGAGCCGTGTTGGCAGATCCTGATAGGAATAGGAAGTAGTCATGTACTGGTAGGCAGGGATGTACTGCGCTAACCTAATCCAATCCAATAGCGGATCAACCAAGGGCATTGAGAATAATCAGTCTCTGCCTTATTACATTAAAATTTTTGTCATATCATTTTGTTTCAGGAGATTCCTATTACTTCAGAGAAGTGCTACAAAGATAATTTTTTAGAGTTTTTTCATTATTATGCTTCATTCTTGTACATTCCCTCCATCCCGATCCCTCCCTCCACCCACCAAACTTTCAGCCTCGTGATTTCCCCCTCTCCACCCTCATCCCCTTTGCCCCATCCCTTTCCGTCTTTGTATGTGTACATTGATCTCACTGGTTACCTTCTATTTTTACAATAATGGCCTTAATACAGTATTTTTTTCTTATATGCCTGAGTTATTTCACTCAGCATAATGCTTTCTAACCTCTCCCTTGTTATATAGTACTTGTCAAGATCATTGCTCCTGAGTGCTGCATAGTATTCCATCCTGTGAGAGGGAAAGTTATTATTATCTGTTGTTGTGTGCCATAAAGATAGAACTGACTCATATCTGGCGCTCCAGTGGGTTTCCAGAAGTTGTTAATCACATGGAAGGAGATTGCCCATCCTTCTGCCAAGGAAATGGATGAATTTAAGCTTCTAGTGGGTTTTCCGAGGTCATTAATCCCACGGGAGGAGACTTCTCAACCTTCTTCAGAGGAACAGCTGGTGGATTTGAACCTCGTGCTTCTGGGATTGCAGTGTAGCTTGTTATGAGGCCATCAGGGCTCACTGTTATCATCTAGCTCAGCATTATTATTATTCTTTACTTGACAGTAACTGGGGCAATGGAGGTGGATATATTTATGAGTCACAGGCAACTTGACGCACCTAACAATAACAACTACTACAAAATTGTTTCTTAGATAACCTTATCTCTTTCTTTATCCTCAGATCCTTGACTGACATAGGCCAATTTATAAACATGATGAAGTGGCTATAATAAAAAGTGATAGTGTGACACTCTTAGGCCAGTGAAAAGTCCATGTTTCATTCTTGGGGATTAACCAGTTTTGAGCAAGATACCAAATCCAGGCGGTCAGGGACAATGAGAAGTGATCAGCCTTGGATAGAAATCCTTCATATTAACTCTAGTGTCATGGTGCTAGTGGACAATTATGCCCAGGGATTTTTAAAAATTATTTATTATTATTATTTTAATAAAAATTTACAGAGATTTTGGATTTCTGTTCATTCATTGTTGCACTTTTCTCCCTGCCCACTCCTCCTCGCCAGTTCATTCTTCTCTTTGAAAAGTAAAATTCTTTCATTGTTATACAATCCCTCCCCCACAAGTCCATTCCACTATGCATGCTGTGTTAAATAATTTTACATGTTTAAATAAGAGATTCCTGGATTATGTGAATGCTTACTATGTTCAGTTGCTAACCAGAAGGTTACAGGTTTAAGTTTTGAATCTATCCAGAGGCATCTTCAAAAACAGACCTGGAAATCTACTTATAAAAATATAGGTTTTGATAACTTTGTAAAGGAAGTTCTACTTTGGCACATATGCGCTCACCTTGAGTCACTCTTTATTCAGTGGCCACTAATTGGTGTTCAAAGAAGTTTGGGAAACACTAGCAAGTCTAGTTCTTCTTTTTTTAAAATATAAGAATGATTTTTTTTTAAATTAATAAGTATTTAAATCCTGGCCAGCCCTTTACAAAAAGATAAGTTTTAATCACCAAAGAGATGAGTTGAGGGTGGGGGAATGCTTCTCCTAGGTATTTTTTTATTTGTTTGTTTATTTTTAAATTTTAATGAAAGTTTACAGAGACTTTGAATTTCCATTCATACATTGGTGCACATTTTCCTCCCTACCCACTCCTCCTCTCAGTTTACCCTTCTCCTTAAAGATAAAAAAAAAATTTATTGTTATACAATATTCACCCTCCCCTCCAGTCCACTTTACTATGACGCTCTTATTCTAGACTCTTGTCATGAAAATAATACCTAATCACAGCTTTAGTTTGCTTGGCTCCATAGTCAACAGTCTTGGCACCAGCAGCCAGGAAATTAAAAGGCGCACTACTGTGGGAAAGTCTGCTGTTAGGGACCTCTCCAGGGTACTGAAGAGCAATGGTGTCTCCCTGGAGACTAAGGTGCATCTGATGCAGGCGATGGTCTTCACAATCACTTGTTATGCATCAGAGGGTCGGACAATGACCAAGGAGGATAGAAGAAGAATTGATGCCTTTGAGCTGTGGTGCTGGAGAAGAGTATTGAGAATACCATGGGCTGCTAGGAAAACAAACAGATTCGTCCTGGAAAGTGTTAAACCAGGTGGCTTCTTGGAGGCAAGGATTCTGAGGCTCCATTTAACATATTTTGGACATGTTGTGAGGAGAGACCTGTCCTTGGAGAAGGACATCATGCTTGGGAGGGTGGAGGGACAGCGCAGGAAGGGAAGGCCCTTTATGAGGTGGATTGATTCAGTGACTGGGATAATCAGTATGGGTGTGTCAGAGACAGTGTGATTGGCACAGGACAGAGTGGAGTTTAGGGCTGTTGTACATAGAGTCGCTATGAGTCGTGAGCAACTCGACGGCACATAACAACAACAACAACAACATATTCCTTTTAAACAGTTCTCTCCCTCATCTGTCTCAATGCAGTATACATCACTTATCCTCTCTTTTGTTAAGTTCCCCCAACCCTGATGTCAGTCCCATTTTACAACAGTGGCACTATGCAGTATATTTCCTTTTGTGTCTGAGCATGGTGTCCTCCAGAGTCATCCGTTTTGTATACTTCATGAGTTCCTTGTATTTCAAGGCAGCATAGTATTCCATTGTGTGAATAATGTTTCTCTATCCATTTATTTATTGATGGGCACTTTAGTTGTTTCCAACTCTTTGCTGTTGTAAACAAAGCAGCAATAAACATGGGTGTTCATATATCTGCTTGGGTGACAGTTATGATTTCTTTAGGCTATATTCCCAGTAGTGGAAGTGCTGGCAAAACTGGAAAAGTATCTGTAGAAAATTCAAGCAAGATCCATACTTCACACCATACACAAAAACCATCTCAAAGTGGATCAAGGACCTAGGCCTAAAATCAAGGACTATAGACTTTATTAAATAAAAACTTGAAAAAACTCTACAAGTCCTAATCCACAACATGAACAGTCTTCCAAGCATCCTGAAAATTCTACAACAAGGAGAGGATAAAATAGATGAATAGTACCTTCTAAGAATCAAATACCTATGCACATCCAAAAACTTCTCCAACAGGGTAAAAAGGGAAGCCAAAGACTGGGAAAAAATATTTGGTAATGACATGTCAGATAAGGGACTTATATCTAGAATTTATAAAATACTTGAGCACCAGAACAAGATAAACAACCCAATTGAAAAATGGTCACAGGGTGGATATAAACAGACACTTCCCCAAAGAAGACATTCAGATGGCGAACAAACACCTGAAGAAGTGCTCAAAATCCCTACCTCTAAGAGAGATGCAAATCAAAACAACTATGAGATATCATTTCACCCCAGTAAGAATAGCAAAATTCAACAGAGCAGCAAACGACAGATGCTGGCTAGGTTGTGGAGAAACTGGAAGCCTTATTCACTGTTGGTGGGAGTGTAAAATGGTACAACCTATGGTAGGCAGTGTGGCACTTTCTCAAAAAGTTGCA